AGAATAGAATAGAATAGAATAGAATAGAATAGAATAGAATAGAATAGAATAACAGAGTTGGAAGGGACCTTGGAGATCTTCTAGTCCAACCCCCTGGAAATCCTACACCATTTCAGACAAATGGTTGTCCAATCTCTTCTTAAAAACTTCCAATGTTGCAACTTTTACAACTACTGGAGGCAAGTTGTTCCACTGATTAATTGTTCTACCTGTCAGGAAATTTCTCCTTAGTTCAGGAACTGAATAGTAAATCCATTGTTTTTTTTCCCCTTCTGCCTTTCCCATGAACAAAAGGAATCTTGATGTGGTGCTCAGTGGCCTTGAAGTCAAGTAGTTGATGTTTTTTTTTTTCATAACCACCATTTTTGGATTGAGAACTATTGCTCCCAATTCAAGCATCACATGAGCCATCAATCTTTAGCATTTATTGTTCTTCATTCACTTTTTAAAAGTAAGACCTATTCTCCAAAGCATTCTTATACGGAGGTATCTCATAATCTATTGTACTATCAAAGGATATATTTTCCAATAACCACAAGCTACAGTCAATAATGTCAGAGAGCAGTTAAATGTGTACAGTAGAATATTTGACGTTGCCCCTATGCATTCTATTTCAACCGAAGAGCCTCAAATCAAGTAAATACTTATTAATATGCTAATACCACATAACAATTTTTATTTCCTTCAGTCACAATATAGTTTTGGCTCAGAACTTGATGACAGCTTGTTAATCTATATCGATACATTATTTTAAGAAATGACTTTGTAGTCACTTGAGAACACAACAAAAATGCCACTTTTATCAAGGACATCTGCACATGGGGTTAAAAAGTCAAGATCGTGGTTATAACCACTCACTCAAAGCCTCATTCCTTTTGATGTACATTTCACACATGTAGGAGGGGGGCTTCAGTCATATGGTTGTGCCTGCCATATTGACTTCTTTTATTGTTCCTGCAGATGCCTCTGCTTTCTATCATAACTGATTTGTTTTTGTTCTGATATATACTTATTTCCCTACTTTGTTTGCTTAATTGTTTGCTTAAAACATTTATATAGCCACCCATCTTATTACAAATGTTGGGTAGCTTCCCATCAAAAAAGTTATGTTGCTTGTATGCACAGGGCTTCTCCTTTACTGTATGTTATTTTTTTTATTTCCAATTACCTTTTCATTTATTTTCAAAACAACTTTCCTTATGTGCAGCCAGAATCTGAAAATAACATTTAACACAGCACAGTAGTTGAGCAAATTGGTTCAGTTGAGATCGGCTTATGAGGTGTTGATTGGGATAGATTGTAGGGGTGCTACTGAAATATAATTTTATCATATTTTATTTATCTATATATTAAATTATTGTATTTTATTCCAATTTTACTTTAAATCATATTTTATTCCAATTTCATTTTAAATTGTACTTTATCCAATTCCTTTTTAAACTGTTTTTATCAGATTTTATTAATAATTTTGTCCCTGGAAGTCTGCACTTTGATATGGCCCAAAGGCCAATAAAGTAAATGAACTAACTTTTTTATTTATTTTCTCAAAAAGAAATCTTCCTCATTCACAAAGCTGGTGATGGGGAAATCTTCATTCTGAATACTTTGCTCTTAGGTCAGCTTGACATTTGATTCTGAACTTGATTCACTATAAAAATTAAGTCAAAGTCTTCCTTTGAGACATCCAGGTATTATAACAAAATTTACCAATTTAGCAGAATAACAGAGTTGGAAGGGACTTTGGAGGTCTTCTAGTCCAACCCCCTGCTAAGGTAGGAAACCCTATAACATTTCAGACAAAAGATTGTCCAATCTCTTCTTAAAAACTTCCAGTGTTGGAGCATTCACAACTTCTGGAGGCAAGTTGTTCCACTGACTAATTGTTCTTCTTTAGTTCTAAGTTGCTTCTCTCCTTGATTAGGTTCCACCCGTTGTTTCTTATCCTACCCTCAGGTGCTTTGGAGAATAGCTGGACTCCCTCTTCCTCCTGGCAGCCCCTGAGATATTGGAACACTGTTATCATGTCTCCCCCAGTCCTTCTTTTCATTAAGCTAGACATACCCAATTCCAACAACCGTTCTTTATATGATCTAGCCTCCAGTCCCCTAATCATCTTTGTCGCTCTTCTCTGCACACTTTCTAATCTCAACATCTTTTTTAAATTGTGGCAATCAAAATTGGATGCCGTATTCAAAATGTGGCCTTATCAAGGCATTATAAAATGGTATTAAGACTTCACATGATCTTGGTAATACAGGCTAGAACTGCGCTGGTTTTTTTTTTTTTTTTTGGCAGCTAAAGCATAATGCTGGCTCATATTTAAGTGATGTAAGGAACTGTACATTTTTGAGAGTTTATTTCTTACTCAAGGGAACTCTGTTTTACAAGAACAATGGCATTTCTAGAATTCAAAACATCCCAGTCAATAACAGTCAACGATATATGTTCTTGGACAGATTCACATTTTGTGTTAACATTTCAATCATTCAGAGACTGGGTAGCACTTACTCTAAATTTCTCAGTAGGATAAATGTCTCCATTAATTATTCTGCTGGTCACACAGTTTGCTGATACTCTTTGTCTTGTGCAGCTGCATTTCCAACTTGATGACCATTTTAAAGGAGAGGATTCTATTTTGCAGAGATTCAATTTGGAATTAAAAGTAGCAAAGCTCTCCTTTTTTAGCAGTGAAAACTGGAAGCTCAAAAATAAGCCTATTACTTATTACCTGTTGCCTTTGAAGGCTGATTAGCCTTCAACTCTTCTACTTAGCCATGTAACAAAGCAACAGAACAGCAGCACACTAATTGCCTCATGATGACTACAAGACATGAATTGCATTTATTTCTATTAGATTGAGACTGTGACTTAATTGACCATTAAATTCTTCTCCAATTTGATCTCTTTATCTATAAAGCACTCTTGAGGTACAATTTCCTTCACTGAACTACTTACGTGCATTCATCCATCTGATCCATCTGATACCACAGACAATACTGCTACCCTTCAAAAAGACCTCGACTATGTATCAGAATGGTCAAACAAATGGCAACTTCAAATCTCAACAAATAAATGCTCTGTCTTACATATTGGCAGAAAAAAATCAGAAAATAAAATACAAGCTGAATAGTCAAGACCTTGTTGATGATCCAAACTCTGTCAAGGATCTTGGAGTACTCATATCTAATGATCTCAGTGCTAGAGCCCATTGTAACTACATAGCCAAAAAGGCATTAAGAGTTGTTTACCTAATCTTATGTAGCTTTTTCTCTGGTAATATTACACTACTAACTAGAGCATACAAAACATTTGCTAGACCAATACTCGAATACAGCTCATCAGTCTGGAACCCACATTACATATGTGATATTAACACAGTTGAGAAAGTCCGGAAATATTTCACAAGAAGAGTTCTCCACTCCTCTACTCGTTGCAGAATACCTTATGCCACCAAACTTGAAATTCTAGACCTAGAAAACCTACAACTACACCGCCTTCGGTCCGATCTAAGTATAGTATATAAAATCATACATTGCAATGTCCTACCTGTCAATGAATACTTCAGCTTCAACCATAACAACACTAAAGCAAACAATAGATACAAACTCAAGGTTAATCGCACCAAACTTGATTGCAGGAAATACGACTTCAGCAACAGAGTGGTCAATGTCTGGAATACTCTACCTGACTCTGTGGTTTCTTCCCCAAACCCCAAAAACTTTAACCTTAGACTTTCTATTATTGACCTCATCCCCTTCCTAAGAGGCCTGTAGGGGGCGTGCATAAATGCACCAACGTGCCTATCGTCCCTGTCCTATTGTTTCTTTTATTTTTCTTATATGTATCCATGTATTCATAACTATGTTTTTATTTATACCTATTATCTTGTAAGCAACTGACAAACCAAATAAAATAAATACTGTTTTTTGGCTAAATGAGCAAACTTGGGGCAAGAGTAAGATTCAAACCAAATAAAATAAATACTGTTTTTTAGCTAAATGAGCAAACTTGGGGTAAGAGTAAGATTCATGTATCACTGAGTCAAAGTGGGGAACCCATGTTTGCATGTATCTTGAAATCAGCTCTAGCATGACCTAAAATAGGATGTGGTGTTTCTTATCTCAAGTAGGTGAGGGTTTCGCCTGGGATGTTGAAAAGATGATGAGAACTCTAGAAAGAGTGCAGAGAAACTAATCAAGGAGAGAAGCAACTTCCAGAACTAAGGAGAAATTTCCTGGTGGTGAAAACAATCAGTGGAATGACTTGCCACCAGGAATTGTGGGTGCTCTAACACTGGTCATTTTAAAGAAGAGATGGGACAACCTTTTGTCAGAAATGATATGGGGTTTCCTGCTTGAGCATCGAGTTGGACTAAAAAACCTCCATGGTCCCTTCCAACTTTTTATTTTGTCATTTGTTCTTTTATGATTTAGCGGACTGGGGGCTAAAATGGTTGCCAGAATTGG